AGCCGCTACTTTATAGTAGAAGCGACAACGCCGCTTCGTCTAAAATATTTTAGGCGTGTAGGTCATATTGACTTATGCATACTGTGGAATTTTCAGGTTGATCCGTTGAATAGTTGGCCAGAAACGGCTAATTAACGCTCATCATGAAAAGCCCTGTATAGAGTTTTATTTTGCATTTAAAATTTTGCATATGAATTAAAAATTGCTTTTAGAAAAACCTTTCCCAATAACTCTTTCAGATAGTTTGAAAAATCCCTCTTTTGGAATTTTCTGTGAAAAGTATTTCTCCAGATGATATGGATCATGTGATTATCATTTTTCTTCCAATATTTTTTATCCCAATCTAAGCAGAAATCGATGCCAAAGTCAAATTGCGAATGAAGCTATTGATAAAAAAAATTCCAGATGATGCAGACTTTCACTGGTCATAATGTATAGCATTAAAAAAATTATATACTGACGAAATCAACTTTTGTAACTTTGTTGCTAATTCTAATAGTATTACTTCAATACAAACTCACCGTTTTACCTAACCAACTGGCCATTTCATCGATTTCCTGATCTTCAGAATTCTGCACAACACATAAAGCCACATCAAAATTTCAGAAAACATAAGGCTAAATCTTGAAAGAAAAGCAAACTCGAGAAATAATTATCGAGATCAACTACTTACAGTTGGTTTCCGCTGAGTGATAGAACTGAGGCCACCCGATATTTGGTCAGGATTGATGTTATCTTTATAGGTGCTACTGCTGCAAACAAAATGATGGGGAGATTGAGAAAATTCTCTTTGAATTTTTCCGCATTACATATTTCCAAATAGACCATTTTTCTATATAGTATACAGCATAAACTACACAATGAAATTAATGAAAGAGTACGGTATTCCAGTAAAAACGAGCCACTCTGAGTAAGTCATTGAATAATAATACCAATATTTTTTAACTGCAGTACAGTTAAAAACTACATGAAGTTAAGAAGACCATGAAATTTGAGAAATAAAACTTCCTGTTTTTATACCAGTTGTATTTGTAACTAACATTACTTCAGTTTCGTCCTACAAGGACATTTTCAAATTTTCTTATTAGTCAGTAGGCAATGCTTGAAGACTGGCAGTAAACAAATCCAAAGAAATGAACTTTAAACGTTCAAGCCAGCCGGGCTAATGAGTCCGAAACCGGTCTGCATGTGTGCCTGTTCCAAAATTGAAGGTCGACTCTTTCAGTTGTATTGCCAATTGCACATGCAGGAAATTTTNCAGCACAGAAGCCCGACACATTTCTACTTATAAATCAACCCTTTGTCAAAATAATTCTGAACTAGTGAATGCCAGCTTAGTTTTACTATTAGAGATTTTATTTTTGCCCTGGTTGCAATCGAGTTATTATTTTTATTATCTTGTTTTATAAAAAACACACTTCAAGAGCGGATTGAAATAGCGGGTTGGTACTACGAACATGGAAAATCTGCATTGAGAATCATGTAGGCAGAAATGTAAGACAAATATATAATAGAGTTGTTAAAAAACTCCATTGAATCTGATGAACATTCAGGAATACTCAATAACGAACGAATTAATGTTGCCTTGATAGAAAATATGCAGTCTTTGACCGAGTTGTCCCAAGCATCAGGAGTGGCTTTTAGAATTCTTCATCATCACAAAGTGAACCCTTACAAACTTTGTTATACACTACATGTTTCTAAAATTAATATACCAAGGTTGTGCCAGTAAATCGTCAAAATGTCCAATACCGGAGTGATTCAAATCCTAATATCGCACGCCAAATTCACATCTAATATCCAAAAAAATGGATGTTTTTGGTTAACCATATTGAAAATCCTTCTTTTTGGAAGCAAACCTAAATGGTAAATGATATTTACTGAATAATCAAGCTATGCCAAGCTTCAGCAACATCTTCCAGTTAGAATCTTTACTGCGAAATATGATGATTTTTCATCAAGATGGGCCTCCTCCTCATTGCATAGTACCAGTGTGACAGTTCCTCGATAATAACCTTTTAGGGGGGCACAGAATGGCCACCCAAATCAATCGATTTGGGGTGGAGGAGATGAAGACGCGCGTCGAGAAAAGTATTGCATTTCTGGTAATTCAGGGAACTGCTTGTTTTGAAAGAGTTCAGCCTCGATATATGGTCATCAAATTTCAATCTGTTGTCTATATGTAGACCCAGAATATAAATAGATTTATTAATACAGTAGAGTTGAAATGTTGGCCTCTTCATGTAGAAGCTTACAATGTAACATGGGTCCCATAAATACAAATATTTCTTCAAGGAATACGGGTGATTTCCAGAAAATGAAACAGTACCCCTAGAGAACACAAAACTGTACGTGACTCAAAATCTCAAAAAATTCTCACTGTTACTTGTATTTTCATACTGGAAACTGTTTGCCTGATTTACAAAAAACATAATATGGTTGGAACACCGGAACATATAAACTCCATAACCCGGCAAGTGACAGAAAATAAAATACATCTTCCTGTTCCAAAAACAAGTCAGACAAAGTATTCTATAATTTATGAAAGTAAAAAGCTGTATAATCACATACCTTACGAAATTAGGAAGGAAAAAAGCTATAAAAAGTTCAAAAATCTTGTTAAAGATGCCCTTGCAACAAAGCGTACTACAATCTTGATGAATATTACAACGGAACTTTGCTGTGATTTAATATATGTTTTTTTTTTGTTGTTTATTATGACACCTATACTTTAAATTATATTTTATACTGAGATATATCTTATTTAATTGCCATGACATGTGAACTTATGTTCAAATTGTGCATATTTGTTTTTTACATTTTTTGAAAGGGACTATACAAACTATTTTGTCTACAAACTTTGTTAAATTTTATTTT